CCATCTGCCTACACAGAAAGGGCTAGCAATCGTTTACGTAAAGCCGGCTCCCGCGAGAGCTGGCTATGAAGTTGGCCGCCTTGAATATGAACAGCAGGGTGAGCTGGGAATTGCGATGGCATAGTGGCTTCAAGCGGCATTTAATGCTCCGCCTAACCGCGTGGCTGGGCTTCCCATTCGGCCATCATTTGAATGATTGAGCACGGGCGCTATGAGCGTCTTGTTTCTCAGCGCTGGAATGCTCGAATGCGACAAAACCCCAGTGAGAACCATCCACCCAGCCGCGACATGCCCAGAATATAATGCGACAAAGCGAGCGAGAAAATTTAACGAAGCCGCCCGCCGGCCAAAATGTCTGGAATTCGGGTGCCGCGCCCGCGGATCTCCTCCCGATGGAAGACCTTAATTAAGAAGTACACTTGTCCCATCACCAGCGACATGCCTCCGTTTAAGATTGTCCGGATGGTTTCTGAGCGGATGAATATTTGGGGAGTTTTTATTCGGTTGACAGCGCCGGCTAACCGCGATATGCTCCCCTGCCTGGAGCGGGTGCCTCGTTACTCCCGAGCACGTACGTCGGGGCAGCGCTGCAGCCCGCAGCCCAGATGGCGCTGTCGTCGCCCCGGCCGCAGACGGGGCCGACACACGGCCAGCGCTGACGCCGGCGTTTACAGCGGCCTGTTGAGCACCTGGCACGCGCGAGCACACAAGAGCCTGTTTTTGAACACCCGGTGCGAGGCATTCTCCCTAATAAAGTTGTTGAGAGGGATCGGTTTGCCGGTGCTCGGCGGGGAGTCTGTGGCGGCGGTGGATTTTTTCATCAGCGGCCCAGCTGGGGTCGGAGGGTCGGGTCACGTGTTCGCTGGCCCTCCCCCCCCCCCCCCCAGCGGTGCCGTTTGACGCCCCAGCCGTTCCGCCGGTCTGCCCCGATCTGATAGCCGATACGGGCAGAAAGGCGCGGTATGCAGCCACGGATACGAACAGCGGTGTGAAGAGGTCACAAAAAGCCGCGCGTCGGTGATAAATGGCCCGCAATCTGATAAGGCCATCTGTGGACATATGCGGTGCGTTTGGGCGCCCGATGTCGCCGGCGATAAGGCGGCGGGTCGGGTTGGGGCGGGCGCCGCGCGGCCCGCTGAGCACACCAGCTGCCCCCCCCCCCCCCCGTCCTCACGCCCGTCTGTCCATAACACCCCGCGGGTCACAGACAGCCTCGCTGAGAGCTGCCCCGGCCGGGCAGGTGCCCGGGACAGCGAGACGATGAGCCGGAGCCGATCGTTATCGAGGTCTCATGCGCAGAGCCGACGCGGCGGGGCTTCCGCATCAGCTGCTCACCCGCCGGACAGCGCGCACATAGGGATGGTCCGATGGTCCGATGGTCTGAGCGGGGTGGGCCGGTAGGGACTGACGGGGCCAGGGACGGGCTGGCGCAGGGATGGACTGGGACGGGCACAGACCGGCGCAGGGATGTAACGAGGCAGGGATGGGCCGTGGCAGGGACAGACTGGAACAGGGGCGGGCAGGGACGGAAATAGACCAGGACAAATAGAATAGACAGAATAGACAGAGACAAAGCAGGGAGGGACATATCAGACAGGAACGGACCGCGAAGTAGGCAAAAGTGTGCGGACATGCTGGGCCAGCGGCGGACATGAGCAGAAACACTGTCGGGGCAGGGATGCACAGAACGTGAAAATACCAGGACAGGGACAGTATGTAAATGGACTGCCAATGGCAGCAGCACGCACGGCCTGGGACCGCAAACACAAGACCCGGACTGAACAGGGACATGCCGCGACGGGCAGTGTGGCGGGCATCATTCCTGGTTACAACAGCACCGCGGTGTGACACCATCCCACGCGGTCGGGACAGCCCCGCTGACCACAGGTCGTCCCGCCCCCGGCCGACACAGGTGTGGTGTCGAAGGCGTCCGGCGCACGGCACGCTAACGGCGCCGACGCGCCGGCCGACATAGGTGTGGTGTCGAAGGCGTCTGGCGCACGGCACGCTAAGGGCGCCGACGCGCCGGCCGCCCGACGGCCGCCCCGCAACTGCTGCGCTCATTTGCTCCAGGGCGCCGAACGCTGGATTATTAATGTGCCGGGACGCCGGGGCACGGGCGCGGCCGGACGGCCGCTACGGCGAACCGTTCGCGGCCCCTGTGTCGAGAGCGGCCGTGCACGTCAGCCGGCATGCATTATGCAGGGACGGAGGTGGCCGCGCGCCGCGCGCGCCACCCCGCCATTGCACGGCACTTTTTGCTGATTAGATTAGGAAATTAAATATGCGCTCTCGAGTTACGGTCGTGTTGAGTTCACGCGCGTTGCGTGACAACCTCCAATGAGGTGTGATGGAAAAACGCTGCAGGTTCTGGCAGGTGTGAAGGGAATGAAACATGAGACGTGCGAAATACACGGCACGAAAGCGCGACCTGATGAAAGTGCTCACCTGTTGCTAATTTGGGGCTGTGACTGAGCCACACGCAGCAACAGAACGGGGAGCTTCCGCGCTTGATGGCAGTTATTATTCGATTTCACGGTTTGGCAAGCGGCGTGGACTGAGCAAGAGACAGGAGGTTGAGCCGAAAGCCACGCTCGTCACGGAATGGTTCCAGTATCGGTTCTTGTAGCTTCTGACCAACGCAATGAAGTCGGCGAGGTGGTGGAAGCCTTAGGCGGGCCACATCCTTTGATTGCAGCAGACCCTCCCAGCCAGCACTGCTCAGGGTGCGTGTCCGGTATTAAGGCGGGCAGATTAGCCTTCCCAGCTGGGATGGCGCCTCGCCACTGGCTCATGTCTGCGTGGGGCCGAGGAAGTCACAATGCTTCCTGGGGCACGCTCCGGCATTCTATGGCCTCGATCGTCCATCTGGTGCACTTCCCATCTAAACACCAGGCACAGATTGAGAGCTACCTCGAAGAACTGGCAATCTTCGGCATTTGTGCTTCATTCTGGCTGTGGAGGTCTGGATACAGGTAGGAGTGCAACGTGACGAGACAATCTGGTGTGACAAAGCCGTCGAAATGGGCATTCTTCAAAGGTCAACCGTTGAAATTATGATAATTTTAATGAAAGCTGGCGCGGCCGCTGACACATCGGCCGTACGTAATTCCCGCCCATGGATGCAGGTTTATGAGAGAGCCGCACGCCATGCAAAGGGCTAATGCTGTTTAGAAGAAAGCTTCGTAGTGATGGTCTGCTGGGCGCCACCGTGCTGGTTGTGCTGTTACCATAACACGCCGCGGCACATGAGCGAGGATCATCACAGCAGACTTGATTTGACTTGATGACCGTTTCACCAGCACTGATCGACACACTGCTCTGTTTCCGTGGCAGTTTGCGAATGCCCTGTTCGTGAATGTCATTAGCCAGGATGGGGGGAGACGCGCAGCCAATAAGGCGATTTCAGGAACGCCACGTCAGCTGAAGGGGGCATACCGAGAACTCATCAGCGCGGAAAGTTCGAGCCTGCCCGACGCAATTTCCGGACCGCCTTTGCCATTGACCAAACAGAGACCTGAGTTTTCCAACTGCATATATCGCAAGGCAGCGCGTATAGTTCAGAGAGAACGCGCTTCGACCCGGCTCCAACCGAGGGTGTTACTTGACTCTCTGTGGGGAATCGGGGCTCCGTCCGAGGGTGCTACTTGACTCTCTTTGGGGAATCGGGGCTCCGTCCGAGGGTGTAACTTAACTCTCTGTGGGGAATCGGGGCTCCTGCCCGAGGGTGTTACTTAACTCTCTGTAGGGAATCTGGGCTCCGTCTGAGGGCAGTTACTTGACTCTCAGTGGGGAATCGGGGCCCCGTCTGAGGATGCTACTTGACTGTGGGGAATCGGGGCTCTGCCTGAGGGTGTTACTTGACTCTCTGTGGGGAATTACCCGAGGGTGTTACTCAACTCTCTATGGGGAGTCGGGGCTCCGCCAGAGGGTCTCACTCGACCCTCCGCGGGGATCGGTGCGGCTGTGGGGTTCGTTCAGCCGGCTCTGATCTAGAGGTCAGATAGACTGCGGGAGGTCAACCGTGGTGGAGACGCTGGCCGGAGGGTGCTACGATATCGGGGGGGGGGGGGGGGGGCAGGTCTAAAGGGATTCACCTAGCAAAACCGCTGGACGTTGGCATTTCCACACGGAATCCGTGATTAGAATGCCTTGCCGGTGTCAATTGTGGATCAAACCAGCCTGAACCAGACCAGACATCACACCGGCAGGGCCAAGGGGGGGGGGGATGGGGTGTGAGAGAGGACTGGCCAGAGCACAGCCCGATAGCCCAGGCAGGTCTGGGCGAGACAGGACGTGGCACAGCTCCAGGCTGGCACGGAAAGTATAGCCACTAGCGTCAGGCCATTTCCATTCAACTACACGCGCCATAGCCTGTTTCAAACTGAGCCAATTCCACCACAGGGCGGCGGTCTTGCTGTCGGGTCATCAAACTAACTGACCGAACGTGTTCGCTGGACGGTGCGCGTCTCCGCAGCTCCTGATTTGTCTAAGCCCCATGTTGTGCAGCCCTGGTCCCTGCGTGTTTCTGATGCAACTTGACAGCCTCTTCGCTGACGGCCGGGGTCGCGTGCTGAACCGCGGCCTCACAAACCCTTCAATACATGTATTCATCGCGCGGAAATGAATCACGCTGTACTTTGTCAACTGATTTCCGGTGCATGACTACAGATATATTAAATGCAGACGTTTTTCTCACCAATCATCTCAGTGCCCTATTTATGTTCAGTTCGCATCGATTGAGCGTGATGCAAATATAAATTTCAGCGAGTTAGCGCAATATTGTCCAATTGTTTCCTGTTTGTTGTCGACACGACCATGATTAAATGATTGATTTGATACATCACGGTTGAAGCAATAGAAAAGCAACTTCACACAGCTTGCACCTAAATGATGGCAGTGCACGGGCATGCCCGCATCTGTTCCCAGCCGTTTCGCATAGCACTGGCTTACGTCAAACCACTATCCCAGCAAATCCAAACGACACTACGGCGACTCACCAGGTAAGAGGTACTCCGTGTCCTTGAACATCGCATCACTCTGTCACACGTCTACGATCCCGGCATCGCGGCGCGTCCCGTGCGTCACTTCGCCACCAACTCGCGCGCGCTCCTCACCTCCGCCGAGACCGCGGCCGACTGCCGGGACATCCGTGTCGGGCTCGCGTCCGCCGGCCCGGGCGCCAGCTTGCGCTCGAGCTCTCTAGATGGCAGCACCGACAGGCAGGCTGCTTGAGTGCCGCTGCAGGTTATGGCGGAGACAAATTTATGAATGCTCGGCAATGTCAGCATGGCTCCAATCCGGCAGCTTGTGAGAATTATGGGACCTGGGCAAGAGGAGTGGGAGGCTCTTCTGATGAAGTATCGTCGACCTTCTCGACCTCCCGCCGCGTCGTCGTCTGAGGCTGAGAGTGGAGCGGGAGTGGATTATAGACTCGTCAATCCGACCCTCGTGTAGTACACCTGTTCCACACTCACAAACACATATTTGCGCTGAGGCGGCCATACCTTGCGAACAGTATCATTCGCAGCATAAGAAAAGCGTCAGTTGCTGTTCAGCGTTTATCCCAGTGTCTCCCATTCCTTTTCGCGAAATTTGACAGCGCTTATTCGTCACACCGAACGGTTTTCACGAAAAACAGAGGCTTCTTAGCTAACACTGGCATCTCTACCAGCCTGTTTAAAAGCGCATTATCGTTGAAGTTACTGAAATTGCTATTTAACGAGAAAGAGCAGATGCGAAAAATCGTTGGCACGAGTAAACTTCCCCTTATGTTAAGGGAATAACTACAGCATTATGCCACTGTGGAGTTCCACCAGAATCCTACCTTACCATACCTTAAGACATATAGTGGTGTTACAAGATCGCTGAGCCTCCAAAAGACACAGATAAGAATTGCAATGTACTTGAAAAATAGCTAGTCCCAAGGGGTTAGAGGGGATTAAGGAGCCGGATGTCAATTTAAGGAACATTATACGCCGCAGCACATGCCATATTTGACCTTCGGTTTGGCTTCCTGGCCTCTTGGGGGAGGAAACGGAATAAAAAGGGGATAATGACTTGAAATTATTGGGGGGATTTATCCGTAACTGAATTTTATTATGAGCGTCTCGGGACCAACACAGTGGACACTCGCAATGCTCGGACGTGTTTTTCACGTATGTAATCTAATGAAACATCAAGACGACGGCATTTATGTTATCACCAGTTGCATGTGTACGTGCCAGTGACTGATTAAACTTAAGTTGCATCAATACCAGTGTGACGGCAATTGGACAGTTCAGTGGCGTCAAGTTGGACCACTTGACAACTCAATTTCCGTCATTTCCAACATGCTTTCATAAACTGACAAGATGTTATATCATGAACTGATATTAGAACTGATATTATGTCATGCAAACATGGTTTCTATCTCGATCACTGAGACTCCAAATGAGAATGCAAAAGTCGGAGCATGCAAATACGTCTATGAAGCTTTTTACGCGAACACTAATGTCCTAAGTGTATCCAGCACGGCACCCCGGCAAAGAAAGGCAATGTGACAGAGCAGTACAAAAGAGAGATGACCTCAGTGGGACCAGTCTGGCCTGTCTCTAAAGCGTTTGCTGATAAACTTGGCAACTGACACTAAAACATTACCACCGTACAAATTCCGGTCGCACGTGAATTTTTCTAGCCTTCGCCTGCCTTTGATGTTATGTTTAATCTAGTTGCAACACCATGGAGTTGTGAAATAGTGGATTAGTGGAAGTCTTGGATTTCTACTGTTAACTAATATTGGTGAATCAGACTGGACTAGATCCTAAGAATGGAGGCCATCGCAGCTCTACCCTGTGTAAATCGCCACTAAAGGCATCCCTTATTCGTAGGTATAGGCTACGGTTCCTTGCCCTACGTTAGACGTGATAGCAGGGCAGGCTATTATCGAATTTTGCAGGCATCATATGACTGCATCTCATGCTGCCATAGTTCTACAAGATTAAGAGCCTGTACCAAGACTGCATCAAAATGCGATTCCTCTCAGTGTTTTGTTGGTTAGATACCACATAAACAATTATTTCTTGCTCACAAATCACTTAGCATTCCTTGGTGATTTGTATCGTCGTGAACGCACACAGTAAAACAGAGGTTTGGTCTGCAGTCCAAGAATAAGCAGCTGATTGCATGCTGTCAAGTTATAGCCATCATCTTAAAGTGACTTCTTGACATAAAATCGCATGGTGGGAAGCCAGCTGATTGCGAATCTGACAACTGACTGCACATAGCTCCAACGCGATATGGGTGGCAATCATAGTTGTCTTTAATGGCTGGAGGTATGGGTGTTTATGAGCCAATCTGGGAGATTGAAGCACTCTTGAGCCACGATCAGCTATTCAATGCGGTCACTTCGGAAAAAAATTATTTGCTGCGACGCTGCCAGCCATTGGAGCATGCAGATTGAGCTCTTGTGATGGCCGGCATTCTTTGATTGCTTGGCGATGTGGCTGGGAACGTTTTGTTGATAGGGAGTGCACCACCTGTTTTGCATCCCCACTCATAGTTGTATTAGACGCGTCTGATTTTCTCGGAAACACCAGTGTTCGCGAAATCCTTTGGGATGGCTCGGAATTTCGGTTTGAAGTTTCCACGCCCGCAGAATAGATTCGGTGAATTCCCTACTCGCCGTCGACCAAAATGAGTGCGTGATAAATTGCATGACTGCTTGAAGTAGTGTACCTAGAACAAACATCGATGCAAATATGAGGTCATTATGACGTGAATTCCACATTACGTCACACAATGCCTTTACTCTATCTCCCATGACGTTTAGTTAAGTCACTCTTCCCGAAAGTCACTTTTGTTTCGGGAAACATTGTTTACTTGGATGCTCAATTCGTTGCACGACTGTTCACAAAACAGGTATATTCCAGAGATATGCCGCACTGTCTAGTGACGCACATGTTCAAATATCCACCAATGCACGGCTCCCTAAATGGCTGACGCCGTCCGCTATGCCAATCACAAGCGTCCATTTCTACTGACGTCATTCATTCCCATTAATGGCAGCATGCACTCTGACCACCGTACTTCAGGTACACCAACAGCCGATTGTTCGTGATGGTAGGTGGTCTGTTCTCCGCATTATATAAATTTTCGTTCAAATGATAAATTTTGTTCACTCTCCTCGATAAGCCTTTCCCCATTTTTGCAGCCGTGTAGCTAAAACACTAGAGGACCTTGGGTCTCAAGAAGGACAGGGTTGTGAACAGTACCGAAAGATCCTCAAGATAGCTATTTCAGCTCAAGCCCCCATATCAATGTGGAGAACTTCTTTCAGTCTATTTTTCCAGCTTTTAGACGTAAGTTCAGCAACAAGAACAATTGCTCATAAACATACAGCATACAAGCAGCCTGTATGATGTGGTAGATGTGCCCCGCAGTATTGAAATGTGTCTGCGATTTGTCTATTCCACTCGATTGAAGAAAAATTAACTTTCCGCGTGACAACAAGTTGAAAAACCTGTGTATGCTGACGTCAGATAGCCTTGATGCTGACGAAGGAGAAACAAGCAGTCGCGCTGGTAAAAGTGTGGATGGGAATGTGCAGATCGCCACGAGCTTCGTGAGTGAAAATGCATCCATTGGTCTAGAGCGTCTTTAAGGATAGATGTCAGATCCCAGCAAGGGAGGAAGTAACGACTGGCATAACTGAGCAGTGCGCGCGAACGCACCGGCTAAAATTCACCGACATATCTCTAGACTCTCCGACCCATAGGTGCGCCAGAAATCGACGGAAAACGGCAGTTGTCACCCGAGCCAAAACCAGCCTCGAATGCAAGACCCCCTGCCCCACACCGAGGAAGAATGGCTCATGAAAACTGTGCATGCCGGACAAATCGTTCCACCCATATATTTGTGTTGCTTGCGACATCTTGGTCATATTTGTAGAAAATGGAGATTTCAGCAAATCCCTCGATCTCACTGGCTGCCCTTGCTTTTGAATGGCCTTGGATATGCATGACTGCCTTTCGGTTCGTATGAAACTGCTGCGGAGCATGTTGATTTGAGTGATACGGCTGTTAAAATCTAGGTTTTCTTTGTGCTTCGCCAAATGGGTATCCCTAAATGATTTCTTACATCTATTAGGTTGTTTTGTGCGCCAGCTGTGCACGTGGATTATGTGCCCGAATAAGAAAAGTGAAAAGAGAACCTATTTTTACGGGCCATTCATAAGTTACGTTGCGCATTTCTACCCAATTTTCAAACCTCTTACCCGGTTGCATGCTGGTTACGCTGGGCGAAAACCCCTTCCTCTGATTACGCCGTGTTAAAAGCATCCTCTCAAAAAGATGACGCTCGTTTGGACACTTACTGAGCCAAAAGTGTGCAACACAAGCCAGCGTGATGTTTGGCATGAGCAGAAGATCCGACCGTGATGTCTCAAAAGATTTGAAACAGGGGATGTTTATGTCAAAGTTGACATATAAGAGTCACTATGGCCCATTTCTTTTCTTGTTTTAAACATAATGTTACCAAGGCCTTTCTTGATTGATATATGAAGGCTCACGTACGCAGTTCAACTGTAATCATCTAAATAAGACACAAGAGTTTCTTGCAGTTACAACTCAGGGTGACTTCATGGTATCGATCCTCGCACCCTCCTTGTTACGTTTCGGTTGCGCTCTATCAAAACCTTCCTCCCCATGTTCATACGTAACGTAAGGTATGGATGGCTAGTGCGTTATTTCTAGCACTTTAGTATGCTGACAGATACATAAAAGGAAACATGTGGCGTCTTAATTCATGTAGTCTGTTTATATTCCATATGATTCCGTGTACTGACAGTGAAGCATGAAGGCACAGACTGTTAGGCGTTATGGTAATATCGATTTCATTTTGTCTATAAAGTAAAGAATAGCTGAGACCTTACCAAATTGAAGACATAGCCTTCCAATAAGACCACCTTCATCGGTTTAAATCAAGCATGCCTAAAGCTTTCTATTAATTGCTTTACAGGGTGCCATATCATGCATCTTGGCAGTTATTCCCTAGGTTTTATAATATGCAACCCAGCTTTCGACGACCGCCGATGACGCTGATATTGCATTGGGAGAATGGCATGACATCGATATGCAGCATTCTGATG